ACCGCAGCGGGCTCAACAGAGAGGGGGCCACGTTGCGCCAAGAGGCGGTCTTGGGCAGGCTACGGAGTCTTGGGATATCCGCGGTGACCTCCAACCAGGACATGTCTAGCGCGCTCGGGTGCTCGATGTTTTCTGAACTTAGGCTATCGCTGGGCCTGATCAGGCTTGTTTTCATCATCGACACGAGCATGGCACGTTCACGATCGTTCGATCGGACGGAGAGCTTACCACGCCTCCATGGGAGACAGCCCCACAGCAGTGTTTTTGCCGAGAGCATGTCGACTGTCAGTCCAGAGGTGGCTGGATTATGCGCGCGCGCACGTCTGGCACGGTGCTCCTCCTCCTCGGCCTCAGACCTACCAAGAATGTCTCGACCTACCTCGCGCCCCTTGCGAGCCTCCTTCGGGCTGGTCGCAGATGCTGTGGCCGAGCGAGACCCTGCGCAAAGCTTGGGTTCCGTTCATCCAGCGCCCAGTTGATCTGTCGCGCCGTATATATGCCGACGACACGAGCAACACTCATGTGGTCACGTCGGCAGAGAACGCGCAATTCACCTTGCACGCGGCCCACGGAGGTTTCGCCGCCGCTCTGTCTGAAAGCGGGCACGCAAACAATCGAGGGAAAAACAGCATTTCTCTTTCGATTGTCGGTCGCGGGGCCCGCGCGCACGCCGGGGCGACATTCGGAGGGCAGGTGAAGGTGGAGGGGCAGGTCCAGTTCGATAACATCACGCTCGGAATACAGACGGCCACGAATGGAGGAGCACAAGGAGAATTGAGGATAATAATCTTAGCATGCGGGAGAGGGCATTACTCGGCGGGGAGATTCTGGGCGCGCAACCGCGTGTGGAGATTCACTCGCACAGTATCCGGCGCCGTCGTGCAAGGCGCCCTCTAATCTGGCCTCACCACCCTCATCCTGTCCGAGGCTCGGGAGTCCAGGCTAGATCGCGTCCTCGTCGGGTTCGGTCGGAAGCTCCTAGGTGGCGACGCCTGTTCCAAGACGGCGGTGGTCGACGGCGACGGCGAGCCCATCCTTGACGGCGACGGACAGGAGGTAGTTGAATATGAGGCACTCACTGACGAGGTCGTTCCGCATCGAGTGGGCGTCGCTCCCGCTGGGGTCGAATTTCGCGCTGCGTACCTATCGGAAATGGATCGAGCGCCCTTCGAACCACCTCCAAGGGATTGCGGCCGTCTTCGGCCAGCTCCGGCTCGAGGCGGCCCCCGCGACCCAGGAGCACGGCACCCCAGGGCCCAAAGTCAACCCGCACGCCCGCAGGTTCGCCCTGGACGTCCTGAGGTTCCTGGGGCGTTCGGAGGCTGGGGATCTTGGGAAGCTGCTCATAGTTTCGGACCCGCCCTTGGAACCCTGGAGGTTTCTGAATATTCGTGCGCTTTTCCTGGATGACGACATCAGGGGCAGGTTTGTTGCTTTGGATGGGTCCTGGCATTCTGAGAGCAGCTGCGCGGACGGTGGCTAACGCTCCTCCTCCTGGTCTTTTACGGGCTTGCTGCTCCAGTTTCCGAGGCGCCCGAGGTCGCCCCACCGCCCGAGCCGATTTGGCAGCGCGATCTTCGGGGCCCCGATGGAGTCGAACGCGGTCGGCCCTTTCAGACGCGCAGGGCCCTCTCGGCACACCAGAGGTTTTCGATGAGGGCGGGCAGGCGTGCAGATCGGCGGTGCGCGCGGCAACGGTCACCAACCAGCGCATCTTCTGCACCCAGACGCCCAGGGCCCGAAGGATCGCTCAGGAGCACCTTGTGCAGGCCACTCTCACTGGAAGACGCGTTGCTCAAGCTCCCCCTGTCAACCATCCCGCGATTCAGCCCGTGCTCCTCGAGTGACCGTTCGTGTTTCGCACGAAGGGCTCGGTCCACGGTGGAAGTTGCCAAGAGTATTGCTGTTCGGTCGAGCTCTCGCGACACCTGCGGGAACCACACGCGCCACGAGTCCCTCTTTACTCGACAGTTCGGTCGCGCGGATGTTCCGCCTCTCCGAAGACATGCTGCAGAACGCCAGGTCCCGCCCCGAGGTGAGAGAAGGTTCGAGGCCACGGGATCGCGGTCGCTCTGGATCGGAGGCTGCTTCCCGCAAGCGCGGCGACCGCCACCGCCGCGGCGGGCGCGGCGCCGAGCCTCGCGGCGACCACCGCCCACGGCAGCGAGGTGGCCAGGGCGGGGGGCAGAACGGCCACGCGGCGGCGGAGCTGGGCAAGGCCGAAGGGCCAGACCCAGGAGTGATCGGCAAGCTACCGCCCATGGATACGCAGCTGCTGGCGACATTGTTCCCCATCATGACGCGCGGGGCTCTGGCGAACTCCTACCAGATTCGGGCACTGAACGCGGCCGAGCTCCAGACGCGCCTGATCGACGAGGAGTCGCCGCTCGTGGTCGGCGGCCTGCAGGCAGGGAGGCCGCAAGCGAAGCAGGCGGCGACCATGAGGGAGGAGCACGCAAAAGATCCGCCGAAGCCACCCCCAGAGCTAGGCATGGGCCCTGCCTGCGCCCAGGTCTTCTTCGCGGTGCGCAAGGAGGTCGGCAAAGCGGGGGCGGCGGCCGGCGCGGCGAACCAGAAGAACTGGGCGAAGCAGCAGGGCAAACTGGACGGCGCCACCAATCTCGTGGAGCTCAGCCTTCCCATCCGAGGCCGCAGGGTGTCTCGCGCCTACAAGGCGGGCCAGGCGAAGCTCACTTTCGCATTCGTGGACCTGCAGTTGACGAGCGTTTTTCATCGCATGCGTCACGCAGCCGGGGGGGGAGCTGAAGCCAGGCCTCGCACCACGCTCCAACACGGAGCGCATCCTCCAGCTGGCCGTGGACGAGTTCGACAGGTGAGTGATGCGGGCACAAGTCCTGGGGATCGCCTCCCAGGCTCAGCGTCGTCACGTTGTAACGTTAGATCGGAAGACCAGGAGGAGGATGTCAGTAAGCTCAGGGGACGGCCTCCCAGGCTCGACGTCGCCACGTGCTGGCGTTAGAACGCATGTCCAGGGGATGGCCTCCCTGGCTCAGAGTGAAGGCTCGGCTGATCTATCTTCTTCGGTTGGGCTGACGACACGACTGCGGCAGTCTACGAGCTCACAGAGTGCTTGGAGACTTGGCCTGGGTGAGCGACCTGCTGCGGGCCGATTTCGTTCCGAAGACGGGGAGGCCCCTGCGGATCGCTCCCATGCAGTGGGCCAACGTCACGCTGAAGGCAGGGGGACCGCAGTGGATCGACGGGGTTCTGAGGGCCTACGAAGTGCGGTGGAACTCGAGGGACATAGGCCTGGGGAGGATGTTGCGAGGCCTGCCGCTGTCGCTGCCGTTTTCCCCTCTCCTCCTCCTCCTCCTCCTCCTCCCCCTCCTCCTCCTCCTCCTCCTCCCCCTCCTCCTCCTCCTCCTCCTCCTCCTCCTCCTCCTCCTCCTTTTCCTCCTCCTGCGAGAGCGTACAGCTTTAAGGAACTTGTTCAGATGACGTCGCGCTTTTGACTTTTTTTCTGGCTGGCCCTGTGGGCTGTCGGTCCTGGGGGTGCCTGGATGCCGTTTCCTCTCTCGGTCCGCGGACACTAATGTTTCAAAATCAATTTCTCACGCCGTTCACAGTGTAACCTCGGTTGGGCGATGACAACCGGGGCCCCCGACCAAGGGGGGCCGTCTCGACACGTCCTCGAACGAGGCACGCACGGTAGGTCGCAACGGTCCGAGTTGTCCTTCGGATTGTTGATCTGAGTATAGTTTTATCGACCTTCGGCCCGACACCGTTCCGCCGCCGCCGCGCCTCCTCCTCTTCAGGGCTGGACCTAGACGGTGTTTTGGCGATTTCGTGGGCCGTTTTCGTTTCGACTCCGCTTTGCGGCAGAGGCGGATTGAAGACAGAGCGAGGGAGAACGAAAACAAACCGAAAACGAAAAACACCGTTCAGGTTCGGCCCTGCTCCTCTTCCTTCCCCCCCCGCCGCGCCGCCGGCACTTGCAGACACCCGGCGGCGCCGGCGCTGGGGCGCTCTGGGGGTGCAGCACGTCTGTAATTGGCATGCCACGGCGTCCGCACCTGCGAGGCTCGGCAGTACGTCGGCGGCGAGCGAAGGGGGGGAAGTGAGAAGGAGAACGTTTTTATCCAGAAGGCTCGGAAGTTCCCGGGCCTTCTGAGAGGCCTTTTGTTCTAAGCCTTCCCCGAAGGCAGAAGCTTGTCAGAAGGCGCGAGGGCTTCTGAGCAGTACCTCCGCCTTCTGAGAAGGCCTTTTCCTTCTCATTTCCCCCCTTCGCATGCCGCCAAGTATTGCGTGCGCGAGGGCCGATGGTACGTAGGTTGTGCATGTATTGCAGGACCGCCCGTGAGGCCGCCACGTAGCATCTATTCTCGTAAACAGCCAGCGGTGAGGAGCAGCCAGAAAGAAACGTGACTCCCGTCCCGGGCGGGTTTCTGGGAGCCACTTCGGAGCCTGTATCATTTGAGAGTGGGGGTTCCGCACGCATGGCTACACAGGAGAAGGGGGACGGGGGACAAGAAAGGGACAGGAGGGAGAGGAGGCGGAAGAGGAGGGCTCCTCACACACTCTTAGCGCTCTCGCGTTTTGGATGGTGGTCGAGTCGTGCCTGTGCTTGCGGCGGCCTTCTTGTCGGGAGGGAGGGGGACGGGACACCCGACCCCCATGAATGGCGTCTGGTGAACTGCCCCGTGTCGTCACGCAACGGCCCCGCCCCGTTCGATTCCTCCTCCGGGGGCGCTTGCTGAAGGCCATCGACTGCTCGGGTGTCCACGTGTCGGCGGCGAGCGAGGCATGGAAGTGAGAAAGAGAAGGCCTTGTCAGAAGGCGGCGGGGCTTTTCAGAAGCCCTCCGGCCTTCTGAGAGAAGTTTTCTGTGAATTCGGGGAGGGCTTCGAAATCTTCTCGGAAGGCCAGGGGACTTCGAGCCCTCTGAGAAGGCCCGCCCCTTCTCACTTCCCCCACCGGGCGCGCCGCCGAATTTGTGCAGGGGGCTATACCGCCCTCCCTGCTCGTCCCCAATCAGTCAAGGTGCTCGGCGACGTCGGCGCAACCCCGGACAGCTACGAGGACTCGCAGCCCACGGGCCTCACGCAGCCCCTGGCGGATCTGGTGGCGGAGTCCCCGTTTGCCGTGGGCCTGACAGCGACACAGCCCACGGCAACGGTGACCAATGTTCCGCCCAATGGCATCAGCACGGCCACAAGGGGGGAGGAAGGAAGAGAGTGACGAGAACGAGAAAGAGAAGGTGCTAGGGTTTGATTCCGCTGAGGAGGAGGGGAGAAAGGGGGGCTGATAACGGCGGCGATGCCATGGCACCGATGCGAGTGATGAGGAAGTGCCAGATTTGTTGTTGCAAAACTAGCGGTGGTTTCAGATATCTTTGAAGAGCCCAAATCATTTCATATGCACCGCATGGCGGGATTATAATGCAAGTGCTAGGACAAGATAGCTGAAACTTATGATTACCCAACGGCTTCAGCAAGTGCGCGACGGCAGAATGGCTACATGACTTGTGACGACAAACCTAAGGGCCGTTTCGATGTTGTGTTGAAGCGCTTGCAGAACTATTGTGTTCGGTATGAGTTCGACATGTGCCCCATCCAAATATTATCGGCACATGCCCACCAATATGTTCGACAGGTCGACATGAATCGCCTGCAGAACTGATATGCTCGTGCGCAATACATAGGGTTTAGAAAATAGCCCCAGGGGGTCCTTATGAAAGTCGAGCATCTGCGGTGTTAGCGATGTGGTGCAAGGTATGTTGCGAAAGCTACGTCGTGTCATTTGAGTAGGGCCGAGGGTCAGAGAGCGCCTTCGTTTGCAGGACCACCGCAAAAGGGACGTCAAGGTGTTCAAACGCCTCGCCAGGTAAGCCGACGAAGATGTGCAAAGTCCAACCGTTTGCTCATGTTCAAAGTTTTGGCTTGACACCAGGTGTGGTCCCATCAATTGCAGCTTGTCCGAACAGGTCGATTGCGCCCCTTGACGTCCGTTTGGGGTGTTCTGCAGACCTGACCCCCCAGCCCTACAGGGTCCGGCTTGACTAAGGCACACTCATTTTTCACAAGGGGCTCGGTCGTTCTTCGGGTTTGCATGCGTTCCGCTGCCTCTTTGGCGGCGGGCCCCCCTGGTGTCCCTTCGGACGTCGTAGACTCACTTGGAACGAAAAGTGGCTGCGTTCCTCATTGATCGTTCCTCGGGGCAGGCCGACTGCTGCACTCCACGTGTCGCCTCGGAGCGCGGGGCACCCACGAGGCGGCACGGGCCCGCAGCGTGGCCAGACCCCGCCGTGCCCTCCCGGGTGCGGGGCGCCCACGGGACCCCCGCCTTGGCGGCACGGGCCCGCAGCGTGGCGAAGATCCCCTCCCTTCGTCTCCTGTTCCCCGCCCCGCCCCGCCTCCCCCTCCATCTCCTCCTCCTCCTCCTCCTCCTCCTCCTCCTCCTCCCTCCTCCTCCTCCTCCCTCCTCCTCCTCCTCCTCCTCCTCCTCCTCCTCCCTGCCCCCTTTCCATCCCGATTGTCCTTCCTCGTACGCATCCCCGTCACAACCCAGATTCCATTCATCTCCCCCAGAGGCAGTCCGAGATGCTGAGTCTCAGGGGCTCGTGAATTCACGTCGCATGCAGAAGCCATAGTGCAGTTTCTGTTCGTACTGCTTGTTGCCAATTCGGTAGGCTTCGCCATCTCCGAATCCTAGACTTCTGCTGTCTTCATCCTGAAACGTTCCTCCTCCTCCTCCCCCTCCTCCTCCTCCACGGCCTCCCCTTGCCTCCTCCCTCCTGGATGCACGCAGTGTTCGGGGAAAGAGGCGACTGCACGAAAACAGTTGGAAAACGGTGGCCAAAGGGGGAAAATGGTAGCCAGCGTGGACCCTAAACAGTACGAGATTGTGCTGTGGATGTGCGAACTATGTGGTGCAAGCTATGTGATGCAAACTATCTGGTGCTAGCTATGTAGTGCAAGCTATTTGGTGCAATATACATGGTCTAAGCTATGAGGTGTAAGCTATGAGGTGCAGGCTATGTGGTGTAAGCTATGTGGTGAGGCGGCAGCGAGGCGGCACCAGCTGGGCACCAGCCGAATCCCTGGCGCGCAAAAACAGCGCACGAGGCGGCAACGAGACGGTACAAACCGGCACCAGCCGAAACCCCCACACACCCACCCAGCGCACGATGCGGCACCAACCAGGCACCAGCCGAAACCCCGACACACCCATCCAATTCTTTAGCAATCTAAACCCCCAAGTGCAAACATTGCTTGTGAAACGAAAGGTTGATGCATGATTTGGATTCCTGGGGGCCTCCTTGAAGTCCTCTTGAAGCACTCTTGGGGTGGTTTGGGGGCTTCTTCGCCCGTCTTGAAGCCATTTGGGACCGTCTTGGGGTCTTCTTGGGCCGTCTCGGGAACTTATTGGGCCGTCTTTGGACGCCATCTTGGGCGGAACAGCCGTTGAGCGCCCGCGTTTGCGGTCGATTCCGCGGGGCCCCGCGGTTTGGGCCAGAGGCCATTGGGAAATTTGGGAAGGGGCAGAAGAGTTGTAAATATGGCACGCCAACCACTCCTCCGCAGGCCGTAGATCGAAGAAGGAAAAACGCCACAATCATAAATTTTCGGCGCTCCGCGCGGATTTCTTAGATCCGCGCTGGCAAAAAAAGGAGGTGGGCCTCTTGGGGCTCTCTTCGGAAGTTGTTTGTTCCCTATTGAGGACCTGCCCTGGGGGCCTCTAGAGCGTCTTGGGTCCATCGTCCAGAGGAGGCTTCCAGCGATCTGGAGGTGCCGTGCTTTTTAAGCTCCTCTTGAGGGCGTCTTGGGGGGACTTCTTGGGAGCCTCGGGGGCCGTCTTCGGTCAGTGTTGGGCCCACGAGGGCCACCCTGGACGCTCTCGAGACCGAAAAGGCGCGAGACTTATCAAGTCATACAACAAATCAGGAGTTCCAAGGACCACGGAACCTTGGCTCGGCTCCAAGGGCCATCAAGACGGGCCAAGATGTCCCTCTAGGCTTCCTAGATGGGGTCCGAGTAGATGGGGTCGGAGGATCGCGCCGAAACGCCTGGCCCGCCCTACCGACACGTCTGGGAGACGAGTCACTCATGAGGAAAAGGGATGGAGGCGGAGAAGGAGCAGCCGGAGGAGGGGTTGGAGCAGGAAGAGTCATGGGGAAAATGAAGTGAAGTTGGCAAAACATGTTAAAAGGGAAAAGAGGGAGGGGTGCGCTGCGGAAGGGGGAAAGACCGCGGAGACGGACGAGGATCGAGAACAGGGCGAGGGCGAGGAAGGTGGACAAGAGCATTGGGAGGAAGAGGAGGAAGAGGAGGAGGAGGAGGAGGAGGAGGAGAAGGCGGACAACGAGAAGGAGGAGGAGAGAAGTGGGGCAAAGGGGAAGGGGGAGGGGGGCAGGAAGACATGGACGCCATCGCCGGGGTTCACGGCACCCAGTTGCGCCACCCGCTCCAGTGGTTTCCCCAGGAGACTTCGCACATGTTATTCTTCCTTTTCAACCTCGGTGACAGGGGGGCCCGACCTCCATCGGATGTGTTGCTTTCAATCGCGGCGTGTCCTTCCGATGCCGGCGCGAAGGAGGAGGAGCAAGATGAGAAGGAGGAGGAGGAGCTAGATGAAGGGGAGGGGGAGGAGGAGAAGGCGAAGCATGAGGTGAGGAGAAACAGTGAACAAGATGTTACTGCGGGCGAGAGGGAGGCGTGGATGTGGGTGGAGAATGGAGAAGTAGGGGAGGATGGGCTGTGACGATACGAGGAAATGGGAATGGGAGGATGAGGTTGATATGCTTGCCCGTCTGCACGTACGTAGTACTCCTCCTCCTCCCCTTCTCGTCTTCTCTAGCTGGTCTGATCTGTTCTGGTGTTGGTTCGTCTGGTCTGGCTTGGCCCTGAGTGCAATGAATTTGTGTTTGGGGGGCCGAGCACAAAAGGAATAGTCGGGAGAGAAAGGAGGGAGGGGAGCTGGAGCGATCCATTCGGGAAGTGTTGTGGTGTCCATCTTGGACCTTCGCGAGCCTTCTTGGAGGAGGGCCTCTCGGGATCATGTTGGGGGCCTCGCTCGTGCATACAGTCAACCCGCATAGTAAGGATGAACGACTTTCCAGGGCTTAACTTTGCATCATTCAAGTTCGGCCCATCATTGGAAGCCGCTTTCGCTGGCCGAGACCCGCTCGCAAAGTGTCGACATCGACCTGGCCTTCCAGGGCCCTTGCTTCCTTGCCGCGCCTCCTAATCTATGCGGGTTGACTGCAGCGGGCCTCTCCTGAAATCGTCTGGGCGTCCTGATGGTGTGGCGCCTTCCTGGGAGCCCCATGGGCCTCTCAGGGGTTGGCGCCTGTGGCCTGTGGCCGCCTGCGCCCTCCCCGCGGCGAAGAGCCTCGACGCTTGAGGGAGGCCTCCTCCTCCTCCTCCTCCGCCTCCTCCTCCTGTGCCCATCACCCTATTGACGGCTCATGTGCCCGTCACCCTATTCGGGAACTTTCCAGGACGGGCTTTGGGGCCCAGGTTCTCAACCAGGATGGTTCCTTCGGGGCTGGTTTGTTTGCTCCGCTTTGGGCGCCGTGGCCCCAAACGCCCCAAAGCGGAGAGTACGGCATCTTCGCTGCTGTCGCTCACATGTTGGCTGGCCCTACTAATATCTATTCGGATTGCCAGTTTGTTGTGTGTCACTCGCAGCTGGCCAGGCCGCTAGCCTTGTCGCACAAGCGAATGCATGCTGGTTTCATGCTCCAGGCGCGCATGGGAGATCTTTCAAGTGTGCAGGCGGTCATCAAGGTGTGCGCTCACCAGGATCTTGATGAGTCACCGCCTGCTCGCGAGTATTTTTTGAGGCTTGGAAACCACCACGCGGACCGTCTGGCCAACCTCGGGAGGGAGCAGCACCCCCTACCTAGCCCAGCAGAAGCGGACGCGATATGGAGGAAGGTTTCCATTGCGCGCCTGGTAGCGAAGTTATCCGCGCGTCTTTTGCCCCTGTGGCCTCGTCTGGACCTTCAGGATGTCGATTGGTTGGCCCCTGAGTCGGCAGCTTCTGGCCGCCAGGAAGGCCTAGCCCACAACTGGGTCCAGCTCAGGCATTACTGGCAGTGTTCTGTTTGCCTGAGAGGCTCGCGGCTCTCTCAGCCTCCAGCCTCCAAGTGCCCAGGTGCCGACGGCTTGCGAGGCATAAAGGCGGAAGATTTGTCGCACCTAGGGCACACCATTGCTGCGTACGATTGCTCGGACGGCTCTATTGTTGCTGTGTGCACTCGTTGCAAGCTGTATTCCACAGGGGGCAGAATTAGAGGCCTGCGCGAAAGCTGTCCCGCGGAGCCTGTCAATTTGAACGATCACTCCATGCGCGGGCGCAGGCACTGCTGCAATCCGTTGTACAGCGTATGGTCGACTCCGTCCGTTTGGCGCTCCCATCTGCGCCTGGCGGTCTTCGGTTCGTCCTGTTGTTTCTTGCTTCGCTGCCCAGCTCAGCTGTTGCGGCGGCTGTGTGTCGGGCTCGGCCCGTCGCAGCAATTCGCGCTGGCTTTTACCGGGCCAGCCGTCGCGGCCGACCCTGACCTGTACAGGGGTCGTGCCGCTCTGCTCTTTTCCCACCACATGTACAGTTAGTTGTGGTGGGACTTGAGCTCCTGGGGCTGATGTTGCAAAAATTAGCTTGGCGAAGGACCCAACCATATGCAGCTGCGAGTACCGCACGGATATGAGACGAAGGAAGGGGCACGCAAACTAGGCCCCTCTTCTCATAGGCACCGCGCCACTGGGGCCTTCGGTGGAGCTCCCTATGGGGCCACGAAACGTGTGAAGGGTGTGCCGAAATGGGTGGTGGGGAGGCATGCTGACCCTGCCACTGGGGCCTTCGGTGGAGCTCCCGATGGGGCCACGAAACGTGTGAGGGGTGTGCCGAAATTGGTGGTGGGGAGGAATGCGAACGCAGCCACTTGGGCCTTCGGTGGAGCTCCCTATGGGGCCACGAAACGTGTGAGGGGTGTGCCGAAATGGGCGGTGGGGAGCCACTGGGGCCTTCGGTGGAGCTCCCTATGGGGCCACGAAACGTGTGAGGGGTGTGCCGAAATGGGTGGTGGGGACGCATGCGAACGCAACCACTGGGGCCCCTTCGGTGGAGCTCCATATGGGGCCACGAAACGTGTGAGGGGTGGGCCGAAATGGGCGAGGGGCGGCATGCCAACTCTGCCACTGGGGCCTTCGGTAGAGCTCATTATGGTGCCACGAAACGTGTCAAGGGTGTGTCGACATGGGTGGCGCGGACGCATGCGAACCCTGCCACTGGGGCCGTCCGTGGAACTCCCAATGGGGCCACGAAACGTGTGAGGGGTGTGCAAAAGTGGGTGGGGGCGGCATGCGAACCCTGCCACGGGGGCCTTCGGTAGAGCACCCTATGAGGCCACGAAATGCGTGAGGGGTGTGCCAAAGTGGGGTGAGGGCGGCATGCGAACCCTGCCACTGGGGCCGTCGGTGGAGCTCCCTATGGGGCCACGAAACGTGTGAGGGGTGTGCCAAAGTGAGATGGGGGCGGCATACGAACCCTGCCACTGGGGCCTTCGGTGGAGCTCCCTATGAGGCCACGAAACGTGTGAGGGGTGTGCCAAAGTGGGGCGGGGGCGGCATGCGAACCCTGCCACTGGGGCCTTCGGTGGAGCTACCTATGGGGCCACGAAACGCGTGAGGGGTGTGCCAAAGTGAGGTGGGGGCGGCATGCGAACCCTGCCACTGGGGCCTTCGGTGGAGCTACCTATGGGGCCACGAAATGCGTGAGGGGTGTGCCAAAGTGGGGTGGGGGCGGCATGCGAACCCTGCCACTGGGGCCGTCGGTGGAGCTCCCGGTGGGGCCACGAAACGTGTGAGGGGTGTGCCAAAGTGAGGTGGGGGTGGCATGCGATCCCTGCCACCGGGGCCATCGGTGGAGCTACCTATGGGGCCACGAAACGTGTGAGGGGTGTGCCAAAGTGGGGTGGGGGCGGCATGCGAACCCTGCCACTGGGGCCGTCGGTGGAGCTACCTATGGGGCCACGAAACGTGTGAGGGGTGTGCCAAAGTGGGGTGGGGGCGGCATGCGAACCCTGCCACTGGGGCCTTCGGTGGAGCTCCCTATGGGGCCACGAAACGTGTGAGGGGTGTGCGGAAATGGGAACTAATGGCGATGGCGATGGTGATGATGCTGATGATGATGATGATGATGATGATGATGATGATGATGATGATGATGATGATGATGATGATGATGATGATGATGATGATGATGACGACGATGACGATGACGATGACGATGACGATGACGATGACGATGACGATGATGATGATGATGATGATGATGATGACGATGATGATGCTGGTGGTGATGACGATGATGATGCTGGTGGTGATGATGACAGAATGGTTGGGAACTAATGGCGATGACGATGATGATGACGATGATGATGCTGGTGGTGATGATGACGAGGATGATGATGATGATGATGAAGATGAGGATGATGATGATGATGATGATGATGATGATGATGATGATGATGATGATGATGATGATGATGATGATGATGATGATGATGATGATGATGATGATGATAAGATTATGATGACGAGGAGTAATGATGACGGCGATGGAGGGAGGGAGGAGGGGGGCGAGGGAGGAGGAGGAAGAGGAGAAGGAAGAGGAGAGGAGACGCGGGGCGCTGTCTCTTCAAAACGAGGACCCAACACCACAGGATGGTTGGGAAAAATCGTCCCCAGCCTATGTTTGACGAATTGTGGAGGATTCCCCCTGTAGGGGGGGGAACGCCCGACTCAGGTTCTGCAGACGGCCCTGGGAGCCCTGCCGTGGCCCGGAGGCTGAGCATTGCCCAAGGTCTTCCGCCTCGTGAGCTCAGCACCGCTCTGGCAGCCCATCGGAACGCTCCGGAGCAATGACGCTCTGACAGCTTATCGGAACGCTCCGGAGCAATGACGCTCCTCCTCATCCCCAGGCCTCCCGCCTGGGCGTTCGTCGTCGTCTGCCTGCTTCTCCCCTCCTCGTCCCCCTCCTCGTCCCCCTCCGCCGGGCAGCACGGCCTGCCCGGGACCAGCATGGCGCATGCACATGTACGTGCACGGCTTTCTCATCATACGGCGGCGTGGCTTCTCCGAGGAGGGGAAGCGGCCCTCGGGCTGTCTTGTGCAGTCTTGGATGCTTGCTCGCCCAGGCCTGCCTGAAGAGAGCACCCCAGAAAGACCCCGAGAGCTCACGGCGGGGTCGCGCCGCGATGACGCCAGCGCCGGCCTCTGACAGCGCACGGATCGTTCACCCTCCATCGATCGCGGCGCTCCGATCGATAGCGCAAATCGTTCGACAGAGGCCGGTTCCAGGGGCCACGAGATCTGGGGAATCTCGTGGCCATGCCCACTATGTCCGAACCCCCTCTGGTACTCACCGCCTTGTTGGGTGCCCCCGGAACCTGGCAAGCCGCATGGCCCTGGCCATGATGCCCACACCCTCTTGGTCCTCACCCCCCTCTCCTGGACGCCCCCGAGGGGAGGCCACTGGAGGCGTTCCTGGTGGCCAGACAACTGAGGCGACAGCGCAGCCAACGCGTGCCCGCGGCAGCATATGCACCAAATTACAAGGGAGGCGGAGGAGGAGGAGGAGGAGGGGGAGGAGGAGGAGGAGGAGGAGGAGGAGGAGAGGGAGGAGGAGGGGAGAGGAGGAGGAGAGAGGAGGAGGGGGAGGAGGAGGGAGGAGTATGAGGAAGAGGATTGAGAGGAGAGGAGGAGGAGGGAGGCCACTGGAGGCGTTCCACCCGGAGCGCCCGCGCTGGGGCCACCGCCAGGCAGGCGCGGCGGGAGCCTGCCGCAGAGAGGGCCGCACCCCTCGCCGGATGCCCCCCATGCTGCTGCGCGGCCGACCGCGCGCCTGCGCCATGCGGAACGAGCCGTGCGACTGCGCCACCTCCCCGGGGCTCGCCCTCCGCCTCCCTCCTCATCCTCCTTCTCCGTCCTCCTTCTCCTTTGTGCGTTCCTCTTCATCCTTGTCCTTCTCCCTCCTCCTCCTCCTCCTCCTCCTCCGCCTCCTCCTCATCATCATCATCATCATCATCATCATCATCATCATCATCATCATCATCATCATCATCATCATCATCATCATCAGCCCTTTCTCCTCCCTCCTGCTCCTTGTCCCTTCTCCTCCTCCTCCTCCTCCTCGTCCTCCTCCTCCTCCTCCTCCTCCTCCTCCTCATCATCATCATCATCATCATCATCATCATCATCATCATCATCATCATCATCATCATCCCCTTCCTCCTCCTGCTCCTTGTCCTTCTCCCTCCTCGTCCTCGTCCTCCTCCTCCTCCTCATCCTCCATGCCTTTTCCTTATAGATAACTTCTCCCTGTCGCACCCCGAGGCAAGTTTTTAGGGCGGGCCGGGCGTTTCGCCTGAGACTTCTTCACCCTTCTATGACTCTGAAGCTTAAAATGTGGCAACAGCTTCACATATGGAGGGCGGGTGGTTTTCAAAATGTGGCTCTCGCCTTAGCGCTGCGCAGATTCGTTCTAAAAACTCGCAAGAGCTTCACGAATTGAGGATCACCCGATTTCAAAATGTGGCTCTCGCCTTAGCGCCGCGCAGATTCATTCTAAAAACTTGCAAGGGCTTCACGAATTGAGGATCACCCGTTTTCAAAATGTGGCTCTCGCCTTTGCGCCGCGCAAATTTGCTTCAAACATTAAAAAGTCTTCACGGATTGGGGGCGGCTCCTTTTCAAAATGTGACTCTCGTCCTAGCGCCGCGCACATTCGTTCGAAAAATGTGCAAGAGATTCACGGACTTCCGCGATCAACGTGCCAGAAATGGTGTTTTGGAAGGATTCAAGATTTTGCGAGTGCAACAGTTACGTTGATTCGCGGTGTTGAAATCCCACGAATGGCGTTCTGGCACGATCCAGGATCGTCAAGACGCAACAGTCAGGTTGATCCGTGGCATTGGAATCCCGAGAACAATGTTTTGGCATGCTTCCGGGTCTTCAATCGATTGTCTTCCAACGAGGCAGATCCCTCAATGGAAATGAAACGTTGTAGGGGCTGATGAAGAGGGAGCTTGGAGGCAGGGTGCATTCTAATATCGATGATGGCTCTTGGGATTACACTGGTCCTCCTCCTCCTCCTCCTCCTCCTCATCATCATCATCCTCCGTCCTCCTTCTCCTTGTCCGCCTCCTCCTCCTTGTCATTATCCCTCCTCCTCCTCCTCTTCCTACTACTCCTCCTCCTCCTCCTCCTCCTCCTCCTCCTCCTCCTTCCCCTCCTCCTCCTCCTCCTCCTCCTCCTCCTCCTCCTCCTCCTTTTGCTACCCCTCCTCCTTTTCCTCCTCCTCCTCCTCCTGCTCGTCCTCCTCCTCATCCTCCTCCTCCTCGTCTCCTCCCTCTTCTCAGAGAAGCCTGTTCAACCCGATGAGGTCGGACGAGCCAGCCGCCTCGCCAGTGCATTGACGATGCGGCACGATCCTCCGACCCCATATGCTCGGACCTCACCTGGGAGGCCTAGAGCCTCTCTCTCGGCAAATGCTGTCCTTGACCCTCGAAGGAGGAGGGAGGCGGAATGAGGAAGGAGGAGGAGTTCGCGAAGCTGGTCGCCTGCACGTAGCGGTGCTTGCCAGTCGGGGTCCCGGGCATCGTGCACGCCACCATGTGGGGCTGCTGCCTCACCTGGCGGCGCGGGAGGTGAGGACCAGGAATCCACGAAAGCGTCCTCCTCATGCTGCTCTTCCCCCTCCTCCCCCCTCCTCATCCTCCTTTGCCCCACTCGTCACTCCTCCTCCTCCTCCTCCTCCTCCTCCTCCTCCTCCTCCTCATCCTTCTTCTTCTTACCACGCCTCCTGCTAGTACAACTTGTCCCAATGCGCCTTCTGGTCCTCTTTCTCCCCCTCATCCTCCGTTTCCTTTACGTCTGCAGGCCGACGAGCCACATGACTCCTCATCCTCACCAACAACACTCCTGTGCTTCCTCCTCCTCCTCCTCCACCCCAGCCTCTCCCAGCTCCTTCGTTCTCATCCTCCTCCTCCTAGTTCGTCTCCTCCATCCCCCGCCTCCTTCTCCTCCTCCTCACTATCGTCTTCCTCCTCCTCCCCCATCCTCCTACAGCTTCTCCTCCTCCTCCTCCTCATTCTCCTCCTCCTCCTCCTACTCGTCCTCCTCCTCATCCTCCTCCTCCTCCTTCTCGTCCTGCACCTCATCCTTATGCTCTTCCTCCTTTCTACACCCACAGTCCCCTCCATACCTATTGTCCCTTTGCCCCCCATCCCATTCCCTCCTGCACTCCTTATCTGATCCTCCCTCTCCTCCTCCTCCTCCTCCTCCTCCTCCTCCTCCTCCTCCTCCTCCTCCTCCTCCTCCCACTCCTTCTCCTCCTCCTCCTCCTCCTCCTACTCCTCCTCCTCATCGTCCTCCTCCTCGTCCTCCTCCTGATCATCATCTTCCTCATAATCGTATCCATCATCATTACCAAGAACAACACCGTATTCGTCGTCACCATCTTGTCAGTATCGTCGCGTTCAGCATCATCATCATCATCATCATCATCATCATCAGCAGCAGCAGCAGCAGCAGCGTCATAATTACCATCATCGTCATCATCAGCAGCAGCAGCATCTTCATCAGCATCACCATCATCGTCGACGTCGCCGTCCTAAGTATCGTCAGCATCATCAGCAGCAGCATCATCGTCATCAACATCTCGTCGTCGCCGTTGCCGTCGTCGTCATCAACATCATCATCATCAGCATCATCAGCAGCATCAGCCGCAGCAGCAGCAGCAGCATCAGTCTCATCATTATCATTATCGTCGTCGCCGTCAGTGTCGTCATCGTCTTTGTCGTCATCGATATCGGCGTCAGCTTCGTCATCATCATCATCACCATCACCACCACCACCATCATCATCAGCATCAACAACAAGATCAGCGTCACCAGCATCATCATAATACTCGTCATCCTCATCGTCATCGAAATCATCAGCATTATCGTCATTGCCGCCGGCGTCATCAACGTCATCGTCACCGTCGTCACCCGCATCATCATCGTCATCATCAGCCTCATCATTGTCATCATCATCATCATCGTCGTCATCACCAGCAGCATCATCATCGTCAACATCATCATCATCATCATCATCATCAGCATCATCATCATCGTCATCGTCGTCGTCAGCATCGCCATCATCATCATCATCATCATCATCATCAGCATCATCATCATCAGTAATATTATCGTCGTAAAATCACCATCATCAGCAGCAGCAGCATCGTCATCATCAACATCTGCACCAGCAGCATAATAAACATCAGAATCATCACCATCATCATCAACATCATCATCAGCATGACCGTCCTCAGTCATTATCCTCATCATCAGTCTCATCATCATCATCCGCATCATCATCCTCATCACCATCCTCATCATCAGCATCATCATCATCGTCGTCGTCATCGTCGTCATCGTCGTCGTCGCCGTCGTCGTCGCCGCCACCCTTCCGATCGCGCGCCGTTCTTCCAAGAAGCGCGCGCTGCTCTGCCATGCTCCCGCCTTCCCCCCGCTCCACAACCCAAAAAAAACAGACAGGATGCGTCGCCTAATTCCGCCAGCCAGGCTAAAGAGACAGCTGGCTGGCGTGGACGAGACGCACGCCACAAATCGCTGGCGCTGCCGAGGGAAGAGCAGGAGGGCAGAAGGGGGGGAGGGGGAGGGAGAGGGTGGCCTGGGCTGGCGTCCTTCCTACATCCTCCGCCTCCTCCTCCTCCTCCTCCTCCTCCTCCTCCTCCTCCTCCTGCGCATCCTCCTCCTCCTCCTCCTCCTCCTCCTCTTCCTCCTCCTCCTCCTCCTCCTACCCATTCTCGCCCATCCTCCTTGTGTGCTCTCTCCTCTCTCTCTCTCCCCCTCTCTCTCTCTCTCTCTCTCTCTCTCTCTTTTTCTCTCTCTCTCTCTCTCTCATCTCTCTCTCTTCTCTCTCTCTCTCTCTCTCTCTCTCTCGCTCTCTCTCTCTCTTTCTCTCTCTCCCTCTCTCTCTCTCTCTCTCTCTCTCTCTTTTCTCTCCCTCTGTCTCGCTTCCTCTATGTCGTTCTCGCCCGTCCCCATCCTGCATCACCTCCTCATCCTCCTCGTCGTCATCAGACTCCTCCTCCTCCTCCTCCTCCTCCTCCTCCTCCTCCTCGTCATCAGCATCATCACCATCATCATCACCATCAGCAGCATTATCATCGTCATCATCATAATCATCAGAATCCTCATCGCCACCATCACCAACATCCTCCTCCTCCTCCTCCTCCTCCTCCTCCTCCTCCTCATCATCATCATCATCATCATCATCATCATCATCATCATCATCACCAACATCACCCTTGTCATCATCATCGCCACCATCGTCATCATCAGCACCACCACACTAGTCATCATAATCACCATCACCAACATCATCCTCATCACCACCACCACCATCAGCATCAGCAGCGGCATCAACATCACTATCACTAACAGCATCTCTAAATCATCATTAGCAGCAGCATCAGCATCACCATCATCGTTATATAAGTATCATCACCATCGGCATAAGCATCATCATCATCATCATCATCATCATCATCAGCATCATCATCATCATCATCATCATCATCATCATCATCATCATCATCATCATCATCATCATCATCATCATCATCGTCATCGTCATCGTCATCGCCGTAATCGTCATCGTCATCAACGTCATCATCATCACCCTCATCCCCATCCTCATCATCATCGTCATCATCATCATCACCACCATCAACAGCATTATCTTCATCATCGTCATTATCATCCTCATCATCCTCATCCGCATCCTCATCCTCATCATCATCATCACCAGCGTCACCATCATCATCCGCCTGACCTCCTCCCTCCCACCCTCTCTCCCTCTCCCTCCCACGTCTTCCTTATGACTAACTCCTCCCTGTGGCACCCCGAGGCCAGTGGAAGGGCGGGTCGGGCGTTTCGCGAACGACTTCCTTACCATTTATGGGCATGAAGCGCAGAAACGGCAAGAGTGTCACGGATTGAGGGCGGGTGGTTTTCAAAGTGCGGCTCTCGCTAAAGCGCCGCGCACACTCGTCTTAAAAATCTGCAGGAATTTCACGGGCTGAGACGGGCGGTCTCCAAAATGTGGTTCCCGCCTGAGCGCCGCGCACAGTCGGCTTAAAAGGTCGCAAGAGCTTCACGGACTCTCCCCTTGGCGCCGCGCACACCCGTCTCCAATCACGCCGACGGCAGGACCCCGCATGAGACTCCTCCCGGCCAGTCTGGAAGTAGCCCCCATCGTCGTCCTCGTGGTTGTCGAGGCGTCCTTGCTGCCTCCTCTGCGCCGTTCTCCTTCACGTCCTGGCGCAGGCTCGCCTGGCGTTGTCCCCTCCTCGCCCTCCTGCTTTTTTTTTCTGCTCGCGCCCCCCGGTCTGTGCTGCTGCTCCCTGCCGGCCTCTGCTGCTGAGGCGCCCCCGGGGCTCAGGAAGACGCCAAGCCCATCAGAAAAAACTCGACGCTCGAAGCTCGGAGAAGCCGCACCGCAAGACATCGGCAGATGCGTGAGGACATCGCTGCGGGAACCAGAACCCAGCCCAGAGTACCCTCTTCCGCGCGGAGGAGGACGCCCCGGGAACAAAAACACCCCCCAGGACCAAGAATCCCATCAAAAACACATCGCTCCGAAAAACATACATCAACGCGTTAGGAATTCGTGGACGCTCATGCCCGCGCACAGCTTCGATACGAATCTCAACACACTCCATTCACCGAACCGAGACTCATGGAAAAAAATGCGCGAGCGGCCCCTTTTTCGCAAAGAAGAAAGGACCCGCTTTGAAGCGCAACCGAGATACATTTTGTAAACTTGTGAAAGAGTTCTGCGGAGGATGGGTTACCACCTCCGGCCTGGACGCATGGGCCTCCCCCCGCGCCCGATTCCACCGTCGATGGGTTCCCACAAGCGGCCCAGGGACACGGGTTTCCCCCTGCCCCCACTTCGGCCGAGGATGGGTTACCGCCACCTGGCCCGGACGCAAGGGCCTCCCCCTACGCCCGATTCCACCGTCGATGGGTTACGACAAGCGGCCCAGGGACAAGGGTGTTCACCTGCCCCCGATTCGGCCGAGGATGGGTCACCACCCCCTGGCCCGGACGCCAGGGTCTCCCCCTTCGCCCGATTCCACCGTCGATGGGTTACCACAAGCGGCCCAGGGACAAGGGTGTTCACCTGCCCCCGATTCGGCCGAGGATGGGTTTCCACCCGCGGCCCAGACGCAAGGGGCTACCCCTGCGCCCGATTCGGCCGCCGACGGGTCACCACCGGCGGCCCGGAGACAAGGGGCTTCCCCTGCCCCCGACTCGGCCGAGGATGCGTTACCACCCCCGGACCGGACCAAAGAAGCTACCCCTGCTCCAGGCCGCCATCTCGTCGTCACCGTCGTCAGCTCCGCCATCGCCCCTGTGTCCTGCCCTACTGCGGAACCGCGGGAATCCCCCATGTCGGGCACGCGGGCCCATGACACTGACAAGGTGGCCGACGACCAGCTCGGCATACAACGCTCGGATTGCCAACGCTCGCCTGAGACTCCCGCCATACTCAGACCTCAGGAGCGCAAAGGTGACAACAGTCACAGGTTTCCAATGACCCACTCGGATTAATAACATGAGGCGTGGGCTCCATAGGGAGGGGGCTCCCGCTTGAGACTTCCTCGCAATTCACTCACAGACGAGGTTCCCGCCATGTCCAAGCCTCAGGAGCCCAAAAATGACAACAGTTACAAGTTCCCAATGACCCACTCGGATAATAACATGAGGCGTGGGCTCCATAGGGAGGGGGCTCCCGCTTGAGACTTCCTCGCAATTCACTCACAGACGAGGCTCCCGCCATGTTCAAGCCTCAGGAGCCCAAAAATGACGACAGTTACAAGTTTCCAATGACACACTCGGATTAATAACATGAGGCGCGGGCTCCGTAGGCAGGGGGCTCCCGCTTGAGGCTTCCTCGCAACTCACTCATAAACGACGCTCCCGCCTGAGACTTCCCCATTTTCAGACCTCAGACGCCCAAAAGTGATAACAGCTACAAGTTTCCAATGGCCCGCTCGGAATACAGACGGGGCTCCCGCCTAAGACTTCCTCGCAATTCACTCACAGACGAGGCTCCCACCTTCGACTTCCTCAAGATCAATGTATGAGTGAGTGAGTGTGTGAATGTGTGAGTGCGTATGCGTGTGAGAGTGAATGTGGGAGTGATGTCTATGATGATGATAATGATAATGATGATGCTGCTGATGATGACGAGTGGGTGAGTGAGTGACTGAATGATGATGAATATGTTGCTGATGATGGTGATGAGTGAGTGTGTGAGTGTGTGACCGTGTGAGTTGAGAAGAGAGGGGGTGATGATAATGATGACAATACGAGTAACAAAAAACAACAATGATGATAAATATAAGAAAGAAAGTAACGAATACGAATAATAATACTGATAACATCATAACTGATAACACGAGTATCAAGAGTAATGATCATGATATTGACAATAATCATAAAAATAACGGTAATAGTAATACTAAGTATGGCCAGAATGCGAATAGTACCAACAGCTACAATAACAATAGCAATAACAATAATAGTGATGATGATGACGATGAAAATGACGATGATGCTGATGGTAATGATGATGATACTGTTGATGATGATGATGATGATGATGATGATGATGATGATGATGAAGATGATGATGATGATGATGATGATGATGATGATGATGTGGGTTCCTGTTCCTGTTCCTCCGCGGGGTATCCAAAGAAAACAAGATCCCCACTTAGGATGTAGGAAAAAATGCGAGAGCCTCACGGTTTGAGAGCGGGTTGGTTTCAAATTGTGGCTCTCGCAAGAGCGCCGCGCATATTCGTTTCAAAAGATTGCAAGAGTTTCACGGGTTCAAATGGTTGACGTACCAGAAATTGCGTTTCGGAGCGATTCAGGTTTGTCGGGTTCGCAATGCTGAAGTCCCAGGAACGGCGTTCTGGCCCGATTCAAGATCGTCAAGACGCATCAGTCAGGTTGACTCGTGGCGTTGAATTCCTGAGATTGGTACGTTGGCACGCCTCAGGATTCTTACACCGCTGTCTGCCAACGGAACACTTCCCTCAGTGGAAATGAACCCGTGCCAGGGCCCACAAAGACGGAGCTTGGAGGGAGGGTGTAGTCCAACGTCGCTGATGGGTCGAGTCTTGGGTTTGCAGTGGTCCTCCTCCTCCTCCCTCCTCCTCCTCCCTCCCTCCTCCTTCCCCTCCTCCCCCTCCTCCTCCTCCTCCCTCCCTCCCTGCCTCCCTCCCTCCCTCCTACCTACTCCCTCCCTGCCCCCCTCCTCCTCCCCCTCGTCGCCGCCGCCGCCGCCGCCGTCAATGGAGAGGCGAGGAGCGAAGGGCGAAAGGCGCGGCTCGCCGGCGACTTGCAGCGCCAGTCCACGGCGGGGCTTCGGGAGCGCATGGTCATCACGGCGACCCCGCCCGCGGGGGACATCCTGCGCGCTGGGCGGAGGAGGACCCTCAGATCCAGGTGTTGCACTTGCTTCATATCGGGAGCGGCCAAGAGGGGGGTGTCCAAGAGGGGGGGTGCAAATCATGACCGGCGGCATGTGCGCGGCCCAGCGGGGGGGCCAGGGACGTAATGAAATAAGAAGACGCGCCATGAAATCTGGGGAAAAATCATGGCCCCCGCCACGATATCCACCCCCCCCTAGTCATCACCCCCCCTCTTTTCCGCCCCCGATGGGCGGAGGAGGACCCTCAGACCCAGGTGTTGCACTTGCTTCAGACACGGCGACTTCGCCAGGCTTCGGGCCCCGGGACCCTCACGGATCGCTGCGGCTCGCAGAAGGACACAGGCAGAGGGGGGCAGGGGCCCCAAGATGGTCTTTGCGATGTTGGCTTTACTGGGAGCGTCGGATCACGGGGCCGGAGATCCCCGAAGTGCGCTGGCCAGTCAGGGCGACGCGACTCCACAGGCTGCCGGCTGTCGCGGACGAGACTGGGGCCTCCCAAGTGGGGTCCGAGCAGATGGGGTCCGAGGATCGCGCCGCATCGCCAATGCATCGCCGATGCATCGGCAGCGCACTGGCGACGTCGGCGACGCCTCGCGCCGTCGGCGTAGAGAACATCGGGCTCCACGCCGAGCCCCATCGCCGATGCATCGGCTGTGCGGCGCAATCCTCTGACCCCATCTACTCCAGCTACATGTGGGAGGCATGGAGGGGCACACGACGCCGCACAACGCTGGCGCCGCAGAGGATGAAGCGGAGGGCCGGCCCGAGGAGGGGGAGAGACGGGGGCAGAGAGGCCTGGCGGCGGGCGTCGGGCCGTGCAGGGCGAGGGAAAGCAGCCAGGCTCAGAAGGCAGGGGGGGCCTGCAAAGAAGCCCCTCCCCCCCGCCCTCCTCTCGGGGTGCGCCGAGGAGAGAGGGGCGGGGTCGGTACGAGGGGAGTGGTAGCGCACCGTGGCCCGAGGGACGTGCGCGGACGGGGGGGGGGACGCGGAGAGGCGGGCGCCTGCAGAGAAGACGGGGGGGGACGCGCAGTCTGGGAGATCTCACGGCGCCGGCTTTGATACCCACCCACCCGTCGCTTGGGGGGGAACGACAAGGGAGGGCTGCCTCAGGGGGGGAGGAGCATGGACCTGGAATCGGCCTTACATCGCCTCCTCCTCCTCCTCCTCCTCCTCCTCCTCCTCCTCCTCCCTCCTCCTCCTCCTCCTCCTCCTCCTCCTCCTCCTCCTCCTCCTCCTCCTCCTCCTCCTCCTCCTCCTCCTCCTCCTCCTCCTCCTCCTCCCCCCCCCCTCCTCCTCCTCCTCCTCCTCCTCCCCCTCCTCCCCCCCCCTCCCCCTCCTCCTCCCCCTCCTCAACAGCCCAACCGCGCGCTCCTGGGCGGGGTGGGCTGCCAGGCCCCGATCGGCGAGGAGTGGACGAGCGGCATCGATGCATTCACCCCTGAGCCCACAGTCGGGGCCTTGACCTAAGGAACTCTAAATAAGGAACGAGGCCCTTTTTTCCATAAGCTAAACTTCGATGTCCTATCGAGAACATAGGGAAAACCTGAGGCGAGCTGTGAAACACTTAAGGAACGCGGAGCCCCTCCCCAACGAAAAGGGTTCCTCCTTCAGGGCCCCGACTGTACATCCCTCTGACGTGGCCTCGCGCCCCTCTCCAACGCCCCCGACGAAAGGTTGTTCGCAGGACTCACCCTCTGGACAGTCAGTCAGTCAGTAAGCCAGGCGCCAGGCAACGGAGCATCGGCAGGGAATCGACAGGAGCACGATTGGCTCACAGATTCCATAAACCAAATTAGCAGGAAATGCAACAGCGCTGCAGACCTACACTCTATTGAGGCCAGCCCGGCGCAGGACTCACCCTCTGGACGTCCGTCCAAAAATCGAGTCGGGATGGACCGGCGCGGGCGGGACCGCGGCCAGGAGGAGCGAGGTTCGGCGAGGAGGAGGGAGGCACAGCGCTCCGAAGGTGTCGATCCTGAGGGAAGCACGCGGGCCCTGGAGAGCCTCGATCGGCGAGGAGAAAGGAGAGGAGGGGGGCCCAGACATGCGGTGTCCTGCCCTTTCCTGTACGCGGCCCCCAGAAGTCCCGACCCCGTGCCTGGGACTAGCTCTTCATCCTGAGCCCGGCAGGGGCCCCCAGAGACCGAAACCGACGAACATGTCTGGGGGGGGGGGGAAGCTTGGCTTGGCGGCGCGCCGAGGGGGTGTGGGGGAGGGGGAAAGGCTTCCTAGAAGGAGGCTGCTTCTAAGAAGGTGCCGGCCATACATCTATAGATAGGGCCCGCGCCTTCTAACAAGCAGGGTGCTTCCGAAAAGCCGTCCCCCCTCCCCCTACCCCCTTGTGCGCTCCACCATCTCTTGCGAATCGACGCTAACCGACGCGAAACGACGCCAAATGATGCTAACCGACGCTAGATCGACGCTGATCGGCACTGGAGCGACGCTGATCGACGCTGAAGCGGCGCTTGCCCATCGACCACCAGACGCCAGCCCACCCGAGTGCACGCTGGAGACGGAATCTCGAAGACACACCAAGGCTCCCATGACTTGCGACCGAACAGGAGCGGCATGGGCGCGCAGACTCTTTGGCCACCAGCGAGGGCGCGCGCCAGGCCGACGCCTTCGGGTAGCCGGCGGGCCGCGCCGGACCTAGGTGCACGCGCGTGCAGACCAGGGAAAGAGGGGGGGGGGAACGAGCAGGGCTCCTCCTCCTCCTCCTCCTCCTGCTCCTCCTCCTCCTCCTGCTCCTCCTCCTCCTCCTCCTCCTTCTCCTCCTCCTCCTCCTCCTCCTCCTCCTCCTGCTCATCCTCCTCCTCCTCCTCCTCCTCCTCCTCCTCCTCCTCCTCCTCCTCCTCCTCCTCCTCCTCCTCCTCCTGCTCCTGCTCCTGCTCCTGCTCCTCCTCGCCCCTTCTCCCCCTCGGAGCGGCCGCGGAGCAGGAACGCGCAGGCGTAGAGAGTCGACGCCACGAGGAGTGCGCGGACGGTTTCAGGCACCGAAGAACGAGGTCCCGAAGGGTGTACGGCCAGTTCCAGCTGCCGAAGGCGGGGACAGCGCGATCCCAATGGAGAGGCATGCCGTCATCCACTCGGTGGGAGGCAGAATGCCTGCAACGTCCAGGCATGCCACGTCTTGCAAAAGACAAGAGGAACACATTTCATCGTCTTCGGCCTCTGATGGCCCTTGCCAGACACGGGGGCCGTCCAAAAACAACTCAGCATTAAAAGCCAGTCTATAGAGGTCTCCTAGATGGTGTCCGAGCAGATGGGGTCGGAGGATCGCACCACATCGCCATTGCATCGCCGATGTATCGGCGATGCATCGTCGATGCACCCGAGATGCGTCGTCGACGTCGGCGATGCATCGGCGACATCGACGTTGAGAAATCGGGCTGCACATCGAGCCGCATCGACGATGCATCGGCGATACGGCGCGATCCTTCGACCCCACCTGTTCGGACCACAGCTAGGAAGTCCAGAGCCTCGGGGAACGGGTCGAAACTGCCGGGCACTGCGTACTGAAAGAATCGAGACATCGCATGTCCGGGCGTACACGTCGTTTATTTCCAATCGTGCTCGTTTCTAGTTGTGCTCGTTTCTCATTGTTCCTGGCCCCCTAGTGGCCAGGAAGAGGCCCCGGATAGAACAATCAGAAGTGAAAGGATCTTGGTCCAAAAAAATCAGAAAGAACTTTCGAAGAATCTGAAAAAAACAATGAAAGGATCTTGGCCAAAAAAACTAACTTTCGAAGAAAATCGAAGAAATCAATGAAAGGATCTTGGCCCCCAAAAAAAAATCAAAGAACTGTCGAAGAAGTATAAAGGAACAGTGTGTAGGCCTCTGGCGGTCCGCGCAGCGGCCCCCGACGCACGGGGAGGGGGGAGCGCAGGGGCAACGGAGGGAGGAGGATGGACGGGGCACGACGCAGGCTCGAAGGACGGGGGTCACGAGCAGAAACCAGGGAGGGGCAACGGAGGGGCAACGGAGGAGGATGGATGGGGCACGACGCAGACTCGCAGAAGGGGCAACGGAGGGAGGAGGATGGATAGGGCACGACGCAGGCTCGCAGGACGGGGGTCACGAGCAGAAAAACGAGCGGCAGAACCAGACGGGCGGCTCGGGCGGGCGGGCCCAACCGGCGGGTCGAGCGGGCGGGTCGCTGAACCATCAGTCCCGTATGGATCGCGAAGAAGGCCCTAGCGATAGCGCAGTTCCCAAGTAGATCACGATGCAGGAGCGTGATTCCTGAGTGTCGGGGGCGCGGCGCCTCAATCAATTTTGAGAAGTACCCCGCGTGAGCGCGACTTCCTGCATACATTGTGAAGAAGTCCTGCGCCGAAGCGCAATTTGGGAATATATGGTGGGGAAGTATCAGGCGGGAGCCGCTGTTGTTGTAAATGGAGGTCCATCAACACAGTCTGAGCCTCGAGACTTACCCTTGTAAAAACAGGCTGCGAGCCCCTGGAGGGAAACTGCACTTGAAACAACACATGGGCACGGCGGAGGGGGGATCAACAGTAATTCGTTGCTAGACATGCAGCAACAGCAGCAGCAGCAACAACAACAGCTTTGTAGAAACACTTACACTATGAAGGCAACACCTGGTTCACCTTCTCGAGATTGCACAAGAACGAAACTGAACAATACATGCCATGACTGCCGAGCCGCACCTGCCTGTGCCCCAAAAGGTGCCTGCTGGAACCGCCCATCCTGGTGTTTCGGCTTCGCGGAACGCCCCCCCGCCCCGTCCCCCAAAGGGTGCCTTTAAATCCCTGCCCCTGGGCCGATGAATACAGGATACGGAGTAGGGCTCTACAAATTCAGGTGTTCGCACAGAGAGTTCCATATAATAGTGTTCCACACAGGAGGAACCGCATGAGGTTCCACACACGTAGCATCCCACGGACAATGCCTTCCACACAGTGCTACACGAAATTACTGTTTGGAGGTCATCGCGCTGGCATCACCTAGTGGCGTTTCGTGTGTCTTCGAAGGGTACCAGACGGTACGAGAACTCCCCATGGATGTTCGGACGCTTTCATCGGAGAAGAGGAGGATAGGGAAAAAGGAGGAGGAGGAGGAGAAGGAGGAGGAACGGGGGAGGCGAGGGGAGGAGGAAGGGGGGGGCTTCTGCCTGTTGCCTGCTCCGTCCATCCTCCGCTCTCCTCCGAGCCCTCCTCCTGGTCCAAGTCTTCACCCCCCCCTCCCTTCTGCACCCACCCCTCCTCTCTCCCTTCCTCCCTCCCTCCTTCCTTTCGTCTCCCTCTCCTCCCTAAAAAAAGGGGCCGTCCCAATGCTGGTGTGGCCGCTGACCTCGCCGCTGGCCAAGACTGACTCTCCTGGTGGCTCCCCCCCCTGCGTCGCGCACCGCCTCTGCCGGCTAATGCTCCTCCTCGCTCCTCGTCGCCTCATTATCCTCATCCGTCTCCTCCTCCTCCTCCTCCTCCTCCTCCTCCTCACTCCTCCTCCTCCTCCTCCTCCTCCCTCCTCCTCCTCCTCCTCCTCCTCCTCCTCCAGCTCCACGAAATTCGTAGCAGGAACGGGACGCGGCGCACATCGCGCGCGGACATTTGGGGCAACCCCAAGCGGGAGGGGCCATCCGACCCCTCAAAAACCAATACAAAGTCGTCACGTTTCTTTTCAGCGAAAACTGTCTTGCCGTCGGCAATGCGAAACTCGTGGCAGGAACCGGGCGCGGTACACATCGCGCGCGACAGGGCGAAGCTTCGCCTCCTGTTCCTCCTCCTCCTCCTCATCATCCTCCTCCTCATCCTCCTCCTCCGCGTCCGCCTCCTCCTCCTCCTTCTCATCCTCCTCCTCCTCCTCCTCCTCCTCCTCCTCCTACTCCTCCTCCTCCTCCTCCTCCTTCTCCTCCTCCTACTCCCCCTCCTCCTCCTCCCACGCACCCGTTCCCCTATACCTCTTTGTCAAGCGGGTACGTCCAGCTGACGGTCATCTTCCCCCAAGGGCGCAGAGAGACAGGGCTAAGGAGGTCCGTTCCGTACACACTGTGGAGCAAGCCACAAACATCGGCCGCCTCCTGATGTTACAGCTGCTAGCGGAGCGGTGCGATGCTGCGGTCACGGGTGCCAGAACCGCGCGCTGTCAAGAGGCCCAGCGGAAGCGCTCAAGGATTGCATGGCAGGCGCCGCCTCTAGGCTGTGCTGCATTGCGTGGGATCCTCGGCAGGGCGCCTGAAGCCGAGAAAAAACTACTAGATCAATAAGAAAAAAACATAAGCTGTCGGAGGTCCGCGCGGATATCGTGGACCAGCGCTGGCCCCCCCTCCCTGGCGCGCGAACGCGCCCGAGGCAGCGCTGGAGGCGCCGCCAGGAGGGCGACCTAAGAAATCTGCGCTGACCTCCGAAAAATAATTTTACGCTACTCTTCTGTCGAGTCTCAAGGCTGCACTGCCTGGCGTGGGATCCTCGGCAGGGTGTCCGACGGCGATGCGGCGCTGGATCAGAAGGACGCGCCCGCGGTGCTGCAGCCAGCTGCGCAAGTCAGGAGCTGTTGCTTGGCGTGCCGCGGCGGTGGGCTCTACGACGCGCCATGCCTTGCAGCACGGTGGCGTGTCGCTCTGCCTCGTGGGACGGGAGGCTGGAAAAAGCTCGGACCGTGGACGCTTGAGGACTGGGACGTGGTCAGCGCGTCGCGCCGAAACCAGGCGGGCCAGAACCAGGGGCGCGACACGCTGAGCAAACGCTCCTGGCCGCGAGCACCCCTACAAGCCAAGCCCTGCAGCAACCGCACCCGAGGAAAGACTCCAACAGGGCAGGACTGCTTGGGCAGACGCACTCGTAGACGCCAGCAGCGGGGGCCGGCGTGCTGCCTCCTCCCTCGCACTTCCGAAGCCAGCGGGCGCAAGCGAGCCGGAGCAGGTGCAGGCGCCAGTCGGGCAACGTGCGGGGCTCGCCGGGAGCACCCCTCCCTCGGGCAGGAGAGGCGCGGGCGGCTGGACAGGCGGCGCCGCAGCAGGCGGTGTCGGCACAGGCGGGGGAGGAGCGAGCGACGCCTGGCGCCGCACTCGCGAGCAGTGGGGGCCGTCGGCCCCGCCACCGACTCGGCAGGCACCAGTCCAGGCATCCGGCGGAGCGCCGCGAGGAAGAGGGCGGCGCCCAGTGGGACCCGCGGGGACAACCTCTCGTCCGTCACGGAAGCCGGGCGGGGCGGTGGCGGTGCCGGCGGCAGGCAGCGCGTGGTGGTGGGGCTCGGCGGCCTGTCCGGAGCGCAGCATCCTGGAGTCGGCAGCCCGCTCAGCAGACCGGCTGGCGGCAGCCTCAGCAGCAGAAGGCGGAGGAGGAGGAGCAGGAGGAGGAGCAGGAGGAGAGAAAAAGATAGAGAAAGAGACGGAGAGGCGAGAAAAGATGAAAAAGAGGAGGAGAAAGCAGGAGAGAGGAGGCCAGATGAGGGGAGCGGACGAGGCTAAAGAAAGAGGCGAGAGGAGGGTGTGGAGGAGGAGCATGAGGAGAGACAGGATGGGCGGAGGACATGGAAGAGGATAGAGGATCTTGCCCTACTCCCTCTTCAATCCACATCTTCTCCTCCCTCATCCGCATGATGGGGGGGAGGGGAACGACGACGACGACGACGACGACGACGACGACGACGACGACGACGACGACGACGACGACGACGACGACGGCGGCGGCGGCGGCGGCGGCGGCGACGGCGACGGCGACGGACGACGACGACGACGACGACGACGACGACGACGACGACGACGACGACGACGACGACGACAACGACGACGACGACCGAAGGACGACGACGACGACGACGACGACGACGACCACGACGACGACGACGACGACGACGACGACGACGACGACGACGACGACGGCAACGGCGGCGGCTGACGCGGCGGCGGCGGCGACGCATGCGACGGCGATGGGGCGACGACGACGTAGAAAAAGAAGAAGAAGAAGAAGAAGACGACGACGACGACGACGACGACGACGACGACAACGACAACGACGACGACGACGACGACGACGACGACGACGACGACGACGACGACGGCGGCGACGACGACGACGATGACGACGACGACGACGACGACGACGACGACGACGACGAGGCTCGCCGACGGTCCTTGCGCAAAGGCGTTCCCCAGGGGACACAGAGGCGCCTCGCGGGCGCAGGGGGAGAGCCGATTTGGCGAGGCGGCAAGCGAGGGGGCTCCCCCCCTCCTCCTCCTCCTCCTCCTCCTCCTCCT